CGCTGCATTGCGCGATTACCTTTCTAGTTATATTATAAAACATTTGATAAAAACTTTTAAAAACCATTTTTATGCATAAAGTATTGTTTATTGATGCATATTACTTAAAATTCAATACCATAAGTAAATTGTACGTAAGTACAACGTATTAAAACTTCATTATTGTTTTTTTCAAAAACTACTAAAAACCGTATTATATTGACATATATAAGTAATAAAACAAAACATTAAACTTGAGATATATCTCTATGATTCAGTTCCCGGAGGGTTCCCTTCCGGTCCGTTATCTTGGTGTCCCCCTTATCACGACCCGCCTCTATCATCAGGATTGTAAAGATCTTGTGGACAAAGTCAAATCCAAACTTCAAGACTGGAAAAACAAGTCCCTTTCCTTTGCCCGTAGATTGCAGCTCATTCTCTCAGTCCTGTCTTCAATGCAAATCTATTGGGCCTCTATCTTTCTTCTTCCTGTCTCCATCTTTAAGGAGATTAAGCTAGTCATGCGGGGTTTCCTGTGGTGCCATGGTGAGCTTAAAAGAGGGAAAACGAAGGTCTCCTGGAAGACTGTGTGCCTCCCGAAAACTCAAGGCGGTCTTGGCATTAAGAGCTTTTCCAGCTGGAATCTTGCCCTCATGGCCTCCCACACTTGAAGAATCCTTACCATTAAGGATTCTTTATGAGTTAAATGGATCTACTCCTATAGGCTTAAAGAGCTAACTTTTGGGATGTCCCGATCCGCAGCGATGTTGGTGGTTGGGGCAGGAGGAAGATCCTGGGCATGCGAGATAGGATAAGAGACTGCATTGTCTCCCAGATTGGTGATGGCGCCTCCACGTCTACCTGGTATGATAACTGGCACCATGTTGGTCCCCTCTACCGGCAAATATCCTCTCGTAATATCATTAACTCTAATCTCTCTCTTTCTGCTCATGTGAAGGATATCATCTTCTAGGGTATTTGGACTTGCCCTTTCCTGAGGGACAGTCCCAACCCTTTAATCCGCAACTCCCCTCTTCCTGTCCTTTCCCATGCTGTCCCTGATAAACTCCTCTGGAGAACCAGGGATGGTCGTCTCACGTCGTTCTCTGTTCATGAGGTCTGGCTTTCCCTCTGTCCCAATGAGCCTGATGTCTCCTGGCATCATATAGTTTGGTTTTCCCAAAATATTCCCAGACATGCTTTTATTTTGTGGGTTGCCTTCAAGCAGCGTCTCAAGACGCATGACAAGCTTCGGTTCTGGGAGGGCCACTCTAACCTGTCTTGTGCGTTCTGTCAAAACGGGTCTGATTCGCATTCGCATCTTTTTTTTGAGTACCCGTTTCCTAATCAGGTTTGGAATGGCTTAAAGCCCAAGCTTAACCTCACTAGTGTCTCGGACAACTGGGCTGATATTATTGGTATGCTCTAGCAAGCCAACAAAGGAAAGATCGTCTGGTCTATTATTCGTAGATTAGTGCTAGCTGGGACTGTCTACCACTTGTGACAGGAAAGAAATAACTGCATCTTCAAGAATAAAAGAAGATCGTATATTATGGTGGTGAAGACGATTACCGATGATGTCCGGTCCAGGCTCCTAAGCT